TCCCCAGCTGAACCTGGGGGGCTTCCACCGCTCTCCGCCCAGCAGCTCTAGATCCATAAAGTAACAATCATCCTCTCATGGTTAACAGCAGAGTCTGGATGGTGCAAGTGACTCAGAATAGGATTTAGAACATTGTTTTTAGGGGATCTGCCTTCACTTTGTTAGCTGATAACCCAGCTCCTGTCCACACAAAATTTACCTTGAGCAAAGGTGTGTGTGTGGAGAGGAGGGACGGAATGGTTTTAAGGTTTTATGCTGTTGAAACTAGATCAGCTGGTCTTAATCTAGCCACTGTTCTGCTAATCATATAGTACATTTGAACTGCATGGATAGGGACCTACCAAATCATGGGCCCTGATGTCCAATTACACAGCTGTAATACGGCCAGGGCCCCCAGTTTCACAGCTGTATCATGACTAGGGCTGCCATTTCAAAGGTGGAGCAAAGCAGGTCCCCCATGCCTCTGACTGGCTGAGGGGTGCCGCAAGTTCAACCCCTCAGGCATTGATTGAAAGCCCTGGCTGGAGCTGTCTAATTTGTTAATTCAGTAATTATCACCCTCTTCAAGGGGTGGAGGGTGATAAGTAATTACTCTTAAACAATTGTTTGTTTACTCAGTAAACAGTTCCCATACCCAATTGAAGTGTATAGCTAGCTACCTGGCTAAAATAAAGCCACAGAAACAATGAATTTGCTCTGCTCTGGCTGTCATCCTCCTCCAGCTCCACCCCTGCTTCAGGAGAGGGACAGTCTGCCCCTTTCTTTTCTTTGATCCCTTCCACCTCTTCCTGGCCTTCTAGGAGACAGCACAGAGATGGTCTGGCATGCAGCATGCATTGCACGCTGACCTCTGTGCTGCGTGCAGCACTTGTATGGGCTGGAGCTGGCGCTGCACTACATGCAGTGGATGGGTCAGGGACAGTGCATGTTTCATGTGGCTTGTGGGGTTGGTCCAGAGACCCAATCATGCAGTTTCACGAGCTGGTTCCAGTGTTTGGATCATACATTTGTGATCAAAGCAGTTGCTGGTGCTGTAATTTGGTGCCCTCCATTACTAACTTGTACCCTTTTAGAGCCATTCTGCAGATGAGTTTTTAAAAAGGCACTATCTTTAACCAGAATTCTTGTTCCAATGTTTGCTTAAGCAGTGTTATAGTATCCTGAGAAACCTGAAGAGTTTTAGTATCAGGTGGACTTATCTCGTTCAGCTAAAATGGTAGTTTACTTCATTCTTGCAATTATCTTAACTGGAGGAACAATAGGCACCACACATACAGGCTGGGGAACTCCCCTCTTGTCAGCACGGAGGTGGAAAAGGATCTGGGAGTCATTATTGACTCCAAGATGAACATGAGTTGGCAATGTGGGGAGGCGGCTAGGAAGGCCAACTGCACCTTGTCGTGCATCCACAGATGCATCTCGAGCAGGTCCAAGGAGGTGATCCTCCCCCTCTATGCGGCACTGGTCAGGCCGCAGCTGGAGTACTGCGTCCAGTTCTGGGCGCCGCACTTTAAGAGGGATGTGGACA